CTACTGGCCTCGTATAAGCAGACTATGGCTGCCACAGTGCCATAGCTGTAACAGCTCTCGATCACGCCCATTAGTAAGTATACGCGTCTGGTAAAATCCACCACACAGTCCACAAAATATAACTCAATCCCTAGTAACCCAAAGAGCAAGTTTTCAAATGCTTAAAAATTAAAAAAATGCTGCAAAAAAAAAAATTATTTTAGTATGCATTAGAATTTTATGCCCTTACTTATGCGTTCTAGATCTCTACACAGATCTATAGAATTAAGAAAAAAATTATACTGTTTCAGCTGCCGTATACAGTGCGTGTTAAGGTAAATCTTATACAGTATTTTTCAAGTGCAACATCAAAGATATTCAAAATATAGTACAAATATATTACATGTAACATAAATACATAATAGTATATAATGTATATTACAGGTTTGAAAAAGTCCATCCGTTTGATTGCCTGTGATGTCACAATTATTAAGCTGCAGTGTGTGTGCTTGAGCCATTTTGGTTGACAGGATGGGATAATTAAAAAGCAAAATTGTCTTTAATAAATCTATAGATTAATAAATCTTTCATTAATTAATATATTAATAAATGTATTAATAAAACCGTCATTTTCTCTCTCTCTCTCTCTCTCTCTCGCTCTCTTTCTATATTATATATAGTATGTGAGAAAGTATACAAGTGAATTGGAGACTACTTCCCCGGTAGCTTGTGTACGTAGAGGTGACTTTCAGAGGACTTCCTCCCTCCTTCTCTGAAAAGAAAAAATTAAAAAAAAGAGCAGTACCGGCACTCCATGTGGCAGCACCGCCATTTTGGGTGTGCGCCACGGCTGGAACAAAATTTTTTTCCAGTGCATACGTGCAAAAGCTTTTTCTTCCAAATCTTACAATAATTTAAAGTATTAAAAAATGTTTATCTTAATATGGTTATAAAAATAGTTGTTAATTATAACGATACTTTTTTTGGCATCAGGTCAAAAGCCATTGTATCTATGAAAAAACTAGTTTAAATTTTTATCCAAACCAACAATGATAGTTTTAGTTATTTCAAGTAATTTATTAGTAGGTTTTACCTGATTTTTGTTAGTTCTCACTCATTTCTTTTTTAAATACAAAAATACATTATTGTTTAAGAAATTATAAATTTATGTACAGAAATTCTAATCTATCGTCGTAATACAGAACTTTATATATATAAAATTTTATACGATTTTAACTACATACAGCAAAAAATAGTATTTTTAGTCAAACTTTTACATTAATATTTAATTTAAAAAAATCACAAATAAAAAGCAAAGTTTTTGACAAATTACTTAGATTTTTAGCAATTAAACAATATGATCCAAAAATTTGCTTTTATAGGAATGAATTCTTTTCATGGAACGAATACTAATGTTTGCCTCGTACTATATGATTTATAAAAAAAATTTTAATTATTTTTTGCAAACGAAAACATGCAAATAATAAGAAAAGAATGGATAGGAACAAAATTTAATTTGCATAGGTGTACATATACACATACATACAGATTGCAATTTTTTCTATGTACATTATGATCCTATGCTTTATAAAACAGGTTTTAAATACGGATGCAGTAAACTTTATTTTTGACCAACACTTCCAAAGATTTCTCTACAAAAATGTTTTTAGACGTTAAAGAATTTTCTTAACAGCCTGGGAACACATCAATAACGAATACTTGAAAATTTTTGTAGCTGATTCATAGGATTTTTTACAGCCGTTTTACAACCGTTTTTTTCTATTTGGCTCCGCATTGCTGTCACTGCTCTGTATTCCTCTACATATATGTATGTTATTGGCATAGTGAAAAAATGTGTCAGATTTATTGTAAATAAACAAGTTACACAGCTCTGGAGGCTCGAAGACCGGTATTTTAAGGCCGAAACTTCAACTTGTGAGCCTGTATCCCCAAGCCTCCGAGATACAAGAAACGCTGACCAAACCACTGTGTTACCGTGATCGCTCTTATTATTATAATATAATTATATGTTATTATTTTAATAATATCATAACTAGAGTTATTAGCGTCAAAGTAATCGTCTGATTTTCACCCTGTAAAATTTTTACCTTTCATTACAACCATTACATGAATCCTATTTTTTCAACCAATGGATGGAAAAAAAAATTTAATGACAATTTTTTTACTTACATATATTATCAGTACATTAAATTTTTTTTCTCATATCATTTCTTTCTTAAGGCCGGAAATGGTTAGCTCCAATTCGATGGTCGAATATTAAACACTAAGATAAGTAAGTTGTGAAATTCATGCCTGAACTGATACGAGTTTTTAAACTTGGCGTACTACCTATTTTTATATTATTCACCATGAAAGAAAAAAAATAACAACTCAGCCTCTCTACATTACAAAAATGTAAATGCATAAATATCGACGTGTAATTTAGGTGGGTTGTAAATTATGACAGTAAAAAATTTTGTATAAGGTTTCACAACTTTTTATTGAAAATAATATCTCATACCAACTTTTTAAAATGTTTTTTTATAATCATAAGTCGATACAAAGTACCATAATCAAACTTCAATACGAATACCGATAAAAGAGCTCCTTACTATCAGTTGCTTAACTCCGCCTAAAAAAGTGACAAGAATAATCACTGTTCCGGGCTTTTAAGTATTAATGTTAAAAGCAATATATGTATATGTATGCGTATACTTGTTCAAAAGATAAATAAAGTATGATCAGCTAACGCCCCCTGCTAGGGCGTAACTTCTTAGTAGTGGGAAGTGTAGCTTTTATCTTTAATACTTCTACGCATATGGATGATTTCTTCTTTCTGACGAATTTCTGATCTACAGTTTGATGCCTTGTCACTTCTGGAATGCGCAGTAAGTAAACCTTCTGCGTTGGTTTTTAGCTTCACTCATCCTAAATAATGATGATTCGCTTCCTTCTCCTTCCCTTTTTTTTTTTTTTTTTTTTTTTTTTTTTTTTTTTTTTTNTTTACTTTCATATAGGGTGCAAGAACAGATTTCTAACATCTCCTTTTGAAATGCAAGACAGGAAAATCTTATCACACTAGTCGACTGCTTGCTAAAAGTTATAATCAGGTTGCGTTACATATCATAATCGACCGATCATATTTTACATTTCATTCATCAAATATCATTCATTCGTTCATTCATTCATTCATTCACTCATTTATTCATTCATTACAAAGCATATTTTATCGGACAATGATATTGGGTATGAATAACCCTCCAAGGTTTTGTATGTTTTGCAAATGTTTGCGAAATCATGCGAGCATTTCTGCGTTGCCAAAGTTGGTTTCAAGATTCTTCCACTGGCCACAAAGTCATGAAAAATCTTTTCTGCAACCATTGCTTATCTTTCATTTCATTTATAATAGAAAAGAGCTTCATGACCAAAGAGGACCTCTACCATGTTTGTACGATCTACCTCAAGGAAATTAAAAAAAAAAGTCAAACGTTTGAAAATGGTAAAAATTATTTTATTAGTTACTATATTGAACAATTTGAATTTTAAGCGTAAAAAATAATTATCTTGTAAGAAATAGTCACATGGTCCTTTGGCTACTGTATGCTCGAAATCAGACGAGCCCCTCTGTTTTCAGTTCAAAGTAAAATTTTCCGTTCAAAATATTTTGAAAGATAAGACAGCGTTCAGGGCTTAGCGTCACTACCTGCAGCTTGCCTAATACTCATAACATAAACGACTTATAGTTCGCAGCTTATCTGTGAATACTCTCTCAGCTCGAACACGCATTATCCTTATGAGTAAGCGGGTAGTAATTTCTGTACCCTTATATCCTGCACTGAATAGTGCTACTCCCTAAATTTTATGGCGTGAAAAAGAATTCTTTCTGAGTAACTCTTTATTTGGGGAAAGATAAAAGATTCTCTTTTGTTAGAGGAAAAATGTTTCATCGTAGTAAAAATTTTGATTTTTTAAAGAAAAGACATTCGTTGCCCAAAGTAAGTAATAAGACGCTAACATATAATTTTATTTTTATTAATAAATTATACCATTATTATACAGTTTAATTAGATGAAAATATATAGGTAATAGACCTGGGGCACAGCATTTTACTTAAAAAAATGGCCAACGTATGTAAAAAAAAAATTGACACAAGATATCTTTACAACTAATTTGAAAGATTTAATATTTGCAAAGTTTATTTTTCCAGGCTCTCCTCCCATTTTTTTTGTAACTGCTAAAAGTCTTTAAAAACTCTTTCTTAGTTTGGACAATTAATAATGTTTTATTTTAGAAAAACTTTACTGCTTGTGAAGACTTCTTTTTTCAATTTAACATTTTTTAAGAGTATACACAATTTACTTGTGAATTTTTATATGTATATTTGTTTACATACAAAAACGATAATGTGTAAAGCCCCTCTCTTTCATACACTAAATAATCTGGAACGCGCATTTCCTTTGCCTGGAAGTCAAACGTTTCTTTTTCTTATTTCACTTATCTTTGCCCGGTTATCGGAATTAAAACACAAATATAGTTGGTCACACGAGTGAACGAAAAAACTACAATACTTTTGTATTTAATTATTGGACATACGTTGTATGTTGGCAACGCTTTCATATGTACGTAAAATGAATGCAACCAATTATATTACTTATTTTATTATATTATTATTATTATTATTATTATTATTATTAATAATCCCATAAAGATATTGTCAAAGCATCTGATTAGATACGAGGAAATACCTAAAAACGTATGTTTGAGTTGGTGAAATCACTACAGAAAGATATGTATGTGTGACCTCATAAAAGTGGGATTTTTCTTACACTTAGAATCTGTTGTCACAGAACCATTCATGAACGACGCAACGTGTTACCCATTCCTGTAAGACTTTGTGGAAACCGCGCCACTTCAATATGAATCGTCATCACAACATCGCTGACGCAAAGCAAGAGAAAATGGTGTGGTCGTCACTGTGGTCAGTGAGCTTGAGAAAAGAGAGGATATATAAGCGTTGGGCACTGGAGGTGCTAGACTTAATAGTCAAAGCGTCTTCGAGTACTACAGAAGTATCGTAAGACATTGTGAGAGTGTTTTAGAGAGAGAAACAGAAATCGTAGCTTATGTTACTATGAGTCGTCTGTATGTTTTCGTGCTCTACCTTATTGTCGTCGCTACGGGTAATCTTCGATTTTTTTCTCAATTTGACACAAATACTAATTATGTTTTTTGGTAAAATACAGCAGATTAAACGTGCGTATTTTTTTAGTGCTTGTAGAGGTTAATTTGATTGAAGTTTTATTAAAAAGGAGATTTACTTCCAAAAAAGTGATCCATAATGATTAAATTATGTGTATTTGTTTTAAAAATAGAGAAAAAAAAGTTGTACGTGTTTATCAGACTATTTTTTTAAAAAGAATATTAAGCTTTCTAAAATTTTAATAGTCAAAACCACTGTTTTTAAGTTGTAAGTATACAATTGGACAAACAATAAAAAAAGATTTTTACTTTTAAGTAAGAAAAAATTTCGGTATACGAAAAAGTAAAAATTTAATTTCGTACCAAATGATGATATTCAGTCGTACGGAGGTCATACATATATTTTATGGTGTACCAGCTCTCTCACAAAGTATGATCTATATACCCAATGTGATATATAATTGATGTTATTTTATTTTATTTTTTTATTTTTTTTATTTTTTTTTTTAATACTGTAGACTTTGGTACCATAAAAAATTATTTCAACTGTTTTTCTAAGGGATAGGATGAAATTGCAAAAAATCATATCAGGAAATTGCTACTAATATCAATTTTTTAACTTGTGTAAACTCAAATATTTTTACTATTTTATCCAGTTGTGTTCTTATTACTTTAAAATAGTAGTTTTATACAATTCAAAATTTTTCATAGTAAATAATAATTCAAATATATTATCTTTCAAACTCGTTCAAACATAAATTTGTGATCGATTGAAACTTAAATTATTCTTGTATTATTGATTTCATAAATGTAACAAAATTTTTTTGTATTTCCAACAAAACAATAATCTTGAAGTCAGTAAACATATTTGAAGATACTTTGCTACAGTAGTTGAAACATTTTTTAATATTTTTACAATTATGACATTATTGCAGATGCCAGGCCCGAAGCGTTAGACTCGACAATTTTTGACACTACTACACCTAGTAAGTTTTGCTGCATAATAAAGTTAGCTGACAGTTTCAATAATAAAAATAATTTTTTCACAGACGTAAGAAACTGCGAACCTGGTGAAATGGAACAAAAAGACGGGCTATGTAACTACTGCATTTGCAACAAAGAGGGTACAAATAAGGCTTGTACCAAAAATCCTTGCACATCTGAACTTATCAAGTCCCTTAATCAGCCATTAATTGGGTATCGTAAGTATTGTGTTCGTTTCATTTAATTTTTATTGTAATTTAAGTATGCATTAACGCTTGTTCTTTTATTAATTTTTTTTTTATTAGTTATTTATTTTTATTTCAGCTGTGTATAAACAGGGTGACCCATGTTTAGAGTATACACTTTTCTACAGCGATTGCAACCGATGCATCTGCAGAGGGGGTGGCAATAGTGCACATTGTACTCTTGATAACTGCAGCGGATAGTTTATATTTGTTTTATTTGCTTTAGGATGACACTGACGGATGCATACTATTGCAATGGAGGTATTGTGTCCAAAAAATACTCAAGCCTGTTAGCCTATAATTTTAGGGTTAAAAATGTTATATCCAAACATTTAAATTGTACGAATCAAATATTTATCGACAGTAGTAATACAAAATTGATTTGCTTGACTGCTGGATGTAACAATAAGAAGTATAAAGTTACAGAATCAAGACATGAATGCACAAATATGTCTTCATTAGCTATAAATACGAGCTTATTTATTAAAAAATGATCTTTTGAAGTGTGTGAAAGAGCAATAAAATGTACAGTGTTAGAGAAAATTGGCCAGTCAGCATGCTATTCTTATCAGGCTAATAATTAAACAAAATTTATCCAAGTGAAGATTGTCACTAGTCAAAATTGACAGAATATTATCTATACTGTTTTCACTTTTGACATAATCAAAACTTATTTAGTTTAAATTATAAGCAATTTTCGTAGTGACAAACATTTGAAATGGGTCTAACAAAAGCTTAATGTTCAAACCTGTGAAAGATTTTGTCATACGAATTACTGTACATGCTGATACATTTTATAACCATCGAAACGTATATTTACACACATTGATTGTAATGGCGATGTCAACTAAATATGTTAATGCTTAGCATACATAAGCTCGCAAACTTGTACATACGTAGGTCAATAGCCTAGTCACGCGCACTAAATGATGGTACCGAGTCAAGGGAAAAAAATTAAAATTAATTTTAGAAACTCGTTATCGCTAGTATATCAAAAATTGCATGATAGTCAAAGAGGACAGTTCGTTAACTGATTGAGGATAAAAGAACTACTTACAAATTGTATCTTTATAGAAGAAGACATCGTGCCTTATGTAGACTTAATATAACGCTACTAACATATGTTCATAAGGGTTCTCATTTATTTCAAAGGACTATTTTTACGAGTTTTTACCAAGATTTGAAAAATTTCCTTATTTCTTACTTTTAACTAAAAAAAGCATTTTTGTGTTATTGCATAATGAATTTTTTAATTAAAATTTTTGTTTCTATTAATGAACTGTAAGATTTTGTTTTACACTGACATCATATTTTTTGTATCTTTACTGTTAACAAAGTATTTTTTGGAATTTTTTCTAGTGTTAAAAAACAAGTAATCTACAAGAAATTTGTAAAGGGATAAGGACAAATTCATAATAATACGGAAAACTTTATCGGTTGATGCAAATTGATCTACAGTTACGACCCAAGCATAATTTTAAATAATGTGAATTTAAAATTTTTTTTAGGATATAACAGAAAGATATGTATGTGTGACCTCATAAAAGTGGGATTTTTCTTACACTTAGAATCTGTTGTCACAGAACCATTCATGAACGACGCAACGTGTTACCCATTCCTGTAAGACTTTGTGGAAACCGCGCCACTTCAATATGAATCGTCATCACAACATCGCTGACGCAAAGCAAGAGAAAATGGTGTGGTCGTCACTGTGGTCAGTGAGCTTGAGAAAAGAGAGGATATATAAGCGTTGGGCACTGGAGGTGCTAGACTTAATAGTCAAAGCGTCTTCGAGTACTACAGAAGTATCGTAAGACATTGTGAGAGTGTTTTAGAGAGAGAAACAGAAATCGTAGCTTATGTTACTATGAGTCGTCTGTATGTTTTCGTGCTCTACCTTATTGTCGTCGCTACGGGTAATCTTCGATTTTTTTCTCAATTTGACACAAATACTAATTATGTTTTTTGGTAAAATACAGCAGATTAAACGTGCGTATTTTTTTAGTGCTTGTAGAGGTTAATTTGATTGAAGTTTTATTAAAAAGGAGATTTACTTCCAAAAAAGTGATCCATAATGATTAAATTATGTGTATTTGTTTTAAAAATAGAGAAAAAAAAGTTGTACGTGTTTATCAGACTATTTTTTTAAAAAGAATATTAAGCTTTCTAAAATTTTAATAGTCAAAACCACTGTTTTTAAGTTGTAAGTATACAATTGGACAAACAATAAAAAAAGATTTTTACTTTTAAGTAAGAAAAAATTTCGGTATACGAAAAAGTAAAAATTTAATTTCGTACCAAATGATGATATTCAGTCGTACGGAGGTCATACATATATTTTATGGTGTACCAGCTCTCTCACAAAGTATGATCTATATACCCAATGTGATATATAATTGATGTTATTTTATTTT